CAACCTAGCGTAAAATAGTCCAAATACACGATAATTCAAGCTCAAACAATCAAGAAACAAAGGGGAAAACATGTGCAAATACCGAGTCATCAAATCCCCCCACACTTAACTGTTTGCTTGTCCCCAAGCAAACCTAACTCAAACCAATGCAGCTCTCCAGATCTCTATAGCAACATACAACCCCAATCGTCGGTAGAGGATTTCCTAGATCATATAGCAGCTTACGAGGTCAACTGGTCTTCTAAGACGTTCCCTATCTCTCTCAATGCGAGTACTAGACTCAAGCCAGGATCATGAGAAAAAGTAGAAGTAAGACAGTCAGTTCATGGATAAAGGGACTCACACCATTCACAACCAAAGATTCGTTGTACCGGGGTGCTCTTTCACTTCATTTCACCGTTGGAACCCCTTTTTCTCACTTTCATTTACATTTTTTCTTTCATTTGGTGGGGTTCCAACTGCAGTCTTTTGCACGGTCGACCCTTATTAGTCGACCAAGAGCAATTTCTGTACATCTGGAGCTCGCCAGAGTACTTCTTTTAACTCATTTTCCTCAACTCTTGTGGAGGGTCAATGAAATTAAGGGGGGTCGGAAGCTCTATCCGTGCCCTTAAAAACACATCCTCAAGTAGGCAAACCGTTCAACGGGTGGAAGTTTTACTTGTACTAGAGACAACTTAGCTTCACCTTGTAGGAGTACCCCACTAAGGATCACTAAAATCTCTTCCAAAACCCGATTTTGTGCAATGAACGGTGCCGCACACGTTGGGCTTACCCCATGTTTAGGATTTAATGATTTTGACATGGAGGACCAACTGCTTCCCATTTTCCATATGAGCACCCTGTTCGATACACGAGTCCATAACATAATCCAAACAGAGTCACCATTACCACATGAATTCAACGGTCTTAGCTCCACTAATTCACAAAATCAACTGGCACAACAGAGAGCTAGATAGGAAAAATCTTATACTTCAACATCCTCCATAGTGCTACACTACCTCCCTAGGTTGCACCTTACTATAGAGACTGTCAATTCAAAGCATACTAAGCAAGCAATTTGCAAGGAAACACATACTTGGAGCCCTCAAATTTAAAAATTTGGACAGTGAACTAGGCTCCAAGCACACAAACAGCCAAACATTCACCCGCATACATAATCGAACACCCCCCCCCACACTTAAGCACGACATTGTCCTCAATGGAGGAAAGATAAGGAGGGTAGAACGAAGTTACCAGATCAAGGGTGAATGATGATGTACGGGTCAGGCAGTGCATTCCAGGAAGAGAGAGTAATCAGAACACAAACACCACACAAAATCTCACAAAGGTTGAGTTATTGACTCTAAAATCAAATAACAAAACTGACTCAACCGAGGAGAAATAGAGAAAGAAATGCAAACCGACTGGTTGGGTTGCCTCCCAACAAGCGCTTCTTTCACGTCGTGAGCCGGACGATGGCTCCTAAGTTTCGGTCCATGCTAGAACCTCCTTGAAGTTGAGGTTCTCGTCGATGAAGTGGAGTCTCAAGTCACGAGCATGTGGTGTGGCAGGTAATGAAGGCTCATGTACTTGATGCAGATGAAGTCTCCACCCTCGAGACCTCTTCTTCGCTTCTCTCGTCTCATTGCCCCAAACTAGATATGACAACATCGATTGGCCACCATCGCATCCACCAAGAGGGACCGATGTTGATGTGGCCTTGGTCTGGCAAAAAGACACTGCAAATGGGTCCTTGCCAAGCAGCTCCTCGAAGTTTGGTGGAGATATCAAATGTAACATAGGGCCGGTGCAAGCCTCTTCCACCTCAACTTCATCCTCAGCCTGGACACCAATTGCTTCCTCAACCCCCCTTTCTTCTTCAAAATGTGGTCTCTCCCTTGGGAAAAGATCAAGAACCACCTCTTCTTTTCTTTCTTCCTCATCATCCACAACTTCCTTCCTCATCCTTGCTTGCTCTTCTTCTTCTAGAACAGATTGGAGAGCAAGTCGCCAAGCAATTTCTTCAATGGGATCATCTTGCATCTCCTCGCACGGGCCCAGCATGTTAGAGCATAAATGAGGAAAGGTGTGGTCAGCAACCATAGGACTTTCCTGATCATGATTATCATAAGAGTTCTCTGTGATAACTTCTGTATGCTCCTCAACGCTCCCATAGCCTTTGTCATCCTCCACCTCTTCTAGCGTGGTAGCAGAAAGGTGATCTTGGGCAAGATGCGAGCAAACTTGCTTCACCCACTCTGTTTGCTTCGCTGAGCGCTAAACAGTCTCCTCCATATCATGGAGAAATGAGGGATCGGAAGTGGCAAGGGCTTGATTTGAAGATCCATCTTGGAGCATGATTTCTCAGTGTCTCGAGCAAACTGCTCCACGAGAAGCCTTAATTGTTTGTTCGGATCTTCCAGTGAAGTGTAGCATGGCTCTGCAGAGTGGCCCGTGAAGGCCGCCATGGGTAACTCAAGATCTGATGGCCCTTCTTGTTGTGGGAGGAATTCTTCTTGATAAGGAGATTGTTCTTGATATGCCCAGGGGTCTGGTTGTTCTCCGTAGAAAGGGGGTTGGTACTGGAACCCGAATCCATAGTCTTCTCCTCCTTGGTTACTCCAGGGAGTCTCGGGGTAATACCACTCGGATGGTAGTGGATACCCCCAATGATTGGAGAAGCCATGAGGGTCCATGATTCAGATCTGCACCAACAAAAACAAAAAACACCCAAGTGAAAAGCAAGGGCGGAAAACAAAAGAAAAACGCTAAAGTAACAAACTTCTGCCTTTCCTAATAATCTAGAAAGTCCCCGGCAACGGCGCCAAAAACTTGACACTCCAAAACACAACACCTAACAATGGCCAAGTGTAACCAATGAAAGAGACTGCAGTATAGTGGCACAAGTAATAAATATCGAATCCACGGGTCTCTAGAGTTACTATTACTCAGCTTCAGTTCATTATCTAGCAAACTAGATTAAGGATTGATTAACCAAACTACTCTACTAACTAAACTAAGTAAAACTACTAATTACAGTTTGGGAACTCACTTAGGTATGATTCCCCCTAGCTCCTCAATTAGGTCCAAGTTGTAATTCCTTTTGGTTGTTTTACTGTTGATTAAACTGCGGAAGATCCGACAGTAGCTTGGAATCTCTTAAGCTGACCAAATCCTCTCAGTCGAACTATCCGGCAGACGACTAGTCTTCACCGGGATAGAAAGCTGAAGCAATAAGCACAGAACTCCACTACTGGAATTGGATTCCAGTACAAAGCAGTAAACTGGCTAACTCTCGTATAGCCAATCTCCTACTACCGAATGATGAGACTCTAGCAACCTAATCAGATTCTATCTATCTCAGATTGCAGCAGGAATCAGGAAAAGTTGATCAGACTTCAATTGACTCAATAAACATGCATCATTCGATTATAATCAAACAATAAAGCATCCAAAACTTCATACAAGAAAGATCCTAACTCATGGAACTAGGGTTCCTCAAAACCTAAGTGAAAGGAAGTTACTCCATAGAGAAGAGAGAGACTGCAGAAATCTGATCTAGATCTTCAATCTCCATCTCCAAGCTTGATTCCCGAGCTTCAATGGCGAAGAAATCCTCCAAAATAGCTCCAAGAACGTTCCCAAGTCGCTCTCTCTCTCTAGGGTTCGTCCCTTGGGTGTTTGGGATCCAAAACCCAGCTCTGCCCCTTTCCTTTTGCTGAAAATCGGGTTTTAAACAGCAATTCCGACTCACACGGCCAGGGCACACGGCCGTGTGGCTTTCCCAGCTGCCCGTGTGAAGGCTCGGTGATTTCCACACGGCCACATGGCCAGGTCACACGGCCGTGTGGGTTGTGCCCGTGTGGCTTGCTCAGCCTCTGTTTAATGCTTCGTTTCTCCCTCGTCCGGACTCCGAATCAGTCACCGTTTGATCCCAGACGCTCGTAGTCTCATCCTCTTTCTTTTCATGACAAGCTTGCATGATTATTTTTCTATAAACTGAGGTAGAAATCCATTCTTCTTCAGGTCATACCCGAGTTTCTTCTCCCGAATCGTCAATTGATCTCTGATTGACTTGAAACTTGCACCTATGCTTCACTTTATGTGCTAGGACCTGAAATGTGACAAAGGAATACAACCTAGCGTAAAATAGGCCAAAGACACGATAATTCAAGCTCAAACAATCAAGAAACAAAGGGGAAAACATGTGCAAATACCGAGTCATCAGTGGTATAACACGAACTTCCACAGCAGCCTCCAACTCTTGCCTTTTGAAGCCCTCTATGGTTACTCACCGTCTCAATTCTATGTTCAAAACCCTCTTTGTACTTCAGTAGCAGCAGTGGCTGATCGTCTTCAGCAGCAACACAGACTTATTGACATTCTCGGGAACAATTCAGCTAAAGCATAGAATAAACAGAAGCAGATGGTTGATGCTCATCGAACTAAGAGGTCGTTCAAGGAGGGGGATATGGTGTTTCTTAAACTTCGTCCATATAGGCAGACTTCAGTGGCTAGCAGAGCATATCAAAAGTTAGCTCCCAAGTTCTTTGGTCCTTTCCCCGTGGAGAAGAAGGTAGGGGTTGTGGCGTACAGGTTGAAGTTACCCCCAGAGTCTGTTATACATCCAGTCTTTCACGTTTCCCTTTTGAAGAAGGCTCGAGTCAGCAGTAGTATTCAAGTGCAGCCCAATCTTCCATCAGTTGATGATCAGGGAGCCTTGAAGTTGGAACCTGCAGCTATTCTGGCCAGAAGGGTAGTGCCTCACAACAACAAGCCCTTGACTCAAGTTCTGGTGCAGTGGACTCATCAACAAACTGAGGATGCTACCTGGGAATCATGGATTGAATTTCAGGCAAAATTTTCAAGTTTCCAAGTGCTGAAAGAGTGGGGAATTGTAACGAATGGACCATTTTGTAAATATTCAGAAGATAAGTGATGAGATAGGAAGAGTGATATGGGGTCATTTGGTATTTGCCAACTTTGTATAAAGTAGACCCGCGAGTACCGTTGTAACTAACTTTTTCAAAGATCAATACACTTTACTCTTTCTCTCTCTCTCCTCTCTTTCCCTCTCTTCCTCCCCTCTGTTCTTATCCCTAATTCCCAACTCTTCTCTGTAACTCATCTTCTTCCCAGGAATTACAGTCGCCAGGACCATTTCTTCTTCCCCAGGGGTGACATTGGTGCTTTTGATAGTAGGTTTGGAGTCTAGCTCCCACAATCATACTTATTTGTCTCCTCCTATCTCTCCATTTACTCGCTGAGCCAAAGAAACGATTCCAGGTAAAACCTACTGCAACTTGCCTCTCCTATTTCTTGCGCAGTGTTTCCCTTTTTCAATTGAATTTTCTTTGCTAGCTGAATTTGGCTGGGATCTCTTTGGCAGCGGTCTGTTTCTCCTCTCACTGTTCCACGACCGCTTCATTCCTCCCCGCCACCTTCACTAAACTGGATTTCAGGGTCTTTCTCCCAAATTTGTAGATTTTGGCATATATTACTGTCGTCGCTGGATCTGATGCCTGTAAAGCAATGGTAAAAGATGACAAGGAAGAAGTCTGTGCCTGCGCAGCTAGGATTTTCGGGGTGGCAATTGGAGCTATAACAGCGAAGGAAGGAGAATCGACTGTGGCAGCAATGAACCAGGACAAAGAGATGGAGTTGCAGCTGCAGGTGCAGTCGCCGGGCGAGGTGGTGAAGTCGGAGTCGGGGGATTGCCAGAAGGATGGAAGGAGAAGGCCTGCGGACGATGGGAATGAAGAAAATTCGTGGCTGAAGCACTTTCAGAGGGCAAATTTCTAGACAGTTTGTAATTGCATCCAGAGATACTATACTATGTCGGAGGCTAGCTTGGAGGACGACAAGACAAGGCACCTGAGCGCTCTCTCTCTTGTATTTGGTGAAATTAGTTACTCCATCCATCACGGGGATAACTGCTGTTGAGGAGTGCGATTGAGGAGGACCTGCTTCAATACCTCTGTAGCTATGGTCCTTGAATTGGTAAGTTCCCTCTCTGTATGTCAGTTATGTGGTTTTATTGTCTTGGGTTCTCAACCTTAGGTCGGATGGGTTATCTGATTTGGGGGATTTATAATGGGTGACATAATCACCGAATTTATAATTCTGACCGCCTAAAGTGCAGGCCTTTCTAACAATTCTGACAGTCAGGCAACCCACTTTTCTGTAAGGTATATACTTGAGAAAACTTTTCATGTTTCCTTCACTTCTTTTCGCTGTAGTTCGAAGTAAATGGTGTTTTTTGTTTTCTCGCTGCTAAATTAGAGTTCTTAGTTATCAATCCCTACAAAGACCATTGATGCTGCTTTTGTACGACATCCAAATAAGTCGACGGTATGGCCTCCGTCTTGGCATAACTTCATTCTAAATCATGAAAGAATATCATGATGCAATGGTAATTGGCATGATTGGTTGGCGATACCGTTGACAGTAAAATGAGGTATGTCTTTGTCTTATGCAGAAGATGCCATCATCTAATTCTGTTGCATTGGCCGGGTTTAGTTACAAGTTGAGTTTCTCATATATATATATATATATATATATATATATTCACGATTCACCCATCAAATATGTTGGAAGAAAATTGAAATTGTGGTATGAATTTAGAATGCCTTGGTTGTTGAGTTAGTGGCCTTCCACATTGACAAGTATATTGATTTGGTTGTTGGCCTCACACTTAAAATTTAGTTGAGATCAAGTTTTGAATATTATGTCCTCGATTTACTTTGACCCACAGTTTGAGAAGGAATGTTTGTACTGTGACTCCTTTCCTTATACTTTCAACCCTCTTATCTTATGCTCGGTGTTTGTTTAATTTGTGCCCCCAATATGGGTTTGTCAATGATCTATAAGTTCAAAGACATTAGTTATACAAGCCTTCTGAAACAAGCATTGTAAAAGGTATTTTCCACATCCTGGCTCCCGTTGATTTTGATGGTTCAGCTTAGCTTTCTTGCACACTCTTATATGCATACTTGGGTGAATGGTTGAAGGTTTGTTAGGTTGAGTTCATTGCAAGTCACTGTGGATATACCCCTATCAAAGAATCAATTACGGAGGATTATTCTTAGTAGAAATTGGGTTGATTACACAAGATGACATACCATGACCGACACAAGAAATGAAGTGTGTCATTATCAAGGGCAGAGAGAGGTCAACGAAGATCCTCTATTAGGGAACTGGTGGTACCAGTTTGCAGTTCTTGGCGATGACAGGTATTTGCATCCTTAGGAGAGGCCTTTTGAGTGGGTTTGCCTTTGTGGGAAGATGGGAGTAATGTGATAGAATGAGTGCTATAGTTGTTTTGACTTCTTTGGCTTGGTGCCCCTTAACAGCTTGGTTTTAGTTGGTTTGTAGAATTTCGTAAATTTTTGTCCTTGATTGGAACTGATCATGAGCGGTTATGAATGACGGGAATCATAGTTCTGATGTATGTAGTCGTTAAGGTATGTGGTTTCTTACATGTATGTAGTTATGCTATTTCGGAATGCTTAACTTTGAGTTTGAGAATGGTTTCTGCTGAATAGTTATCTTACGTTATGATTGACCTTTTTTATTTTCACAGCACTCTATCCATGTATTGGAATCCCAACACAATTATGTGTAATGATATACTCTCTTCTAGATAAAAGAAGCAGCAACACATGTATGGAAGCTTAGCTTATGAGCGACCACTCTTGAGTAAATTCCATTTTGATTTTGGCTTAAGTTAGTCTTCTGGCAGTAACTATATATAATACCCAACATCTTCGCTTAATTATATTACAACATTCAACTATGCAGAGGCATGCACCTTTTATTTCTCTTTGTGGGCTGCTAGAGCTTTGTGTGTTCATTTGGTGGAATCTGGGTTGAGTGCTTATGATGGGGAAATAGATTGACGTGGATGTAGTAATTCATTTAATTTGAATATGACTAAGAAACCTTTGTTAAGTTACTTGATTTACAAATGTTGGATTCAGGGAACAAGTTGATGAGTTGGGAGGAGTGGTCATAGATGCACAAAATCAACTACAACTTCTTCGTGGGATAAATGAGAATGAGATTGTAGAGGCCACTATAGTTGGAGTTTCAGCGAGGTGGAGAGAAGTTGATGAGCTCTGGAGAAAATCGAGGCAAAGATCGGGTGGGTGGGAGAGAACCAGGAGGATTGGAGGGTTATGCGAGTCCAATGGAAAATCCTCATTAGCGTTTATATTTCAGCAAACCAAATTATGCTATGCGCAACCCAATTTACACGTTAAGAAAATAGATTTGGAATATTTGTTGGGATATTATTTTGGTGAAATACCCGTTAAACACACATTATACCATCTAATTAATTTTCATACTGAATTATAAAAATCACAAAAACTAATTGGAGATAAGTTATGACAAAATTTGTTGAAATATTCCGGCCAAAGGACGGGTTCAAGCTAGTTGCAAAAGAAGCAGAAAGCTTCTCTTCCCAAGTTCCCGTTTACTTCCAACAACTTCTTAACAAAGCTGATCATACTCAAAAAGACATCGGCTACAGCCAGCCCAACCTAGTTAATTAATTAACTTCCTATCCTATGGTCACTCTCGCCCCGGATAACCAGATGCAAGTGTCTTCATCAGCTCGCGCAAGCAGCTCTCCTTCAGATGCTTGAAACCTTCCGACTGCGTCATCTCTGCCACGTTGGCTGGATGCGCAGCAAATCTCAAGCAGATAGCTTTGAGCTGTGTACAGTGATGCTGGTCAGCCAGTGCCAGTGTGGTGGCCACTGATGCGGCCGCAAGCTCCTCGCACAGCTTCGATTCGCAGAACGCCTTCAGTCGGTCTAAGTCGTACAGGTCGGCGGCTACTAACAGATTCTGCATTACGCTCGTAGCCTCCGTCGACGGCGACGAGCCCGTAATCTCATGCACATTCTTAGAAAATTGTATTGTAAAATACACTTTGTGTCTATAGTGTAAAACAAATCTCTTTCAATATATCATACAAACAGAAAATCATGCACGGACTGTTCGATTGTATTTTCGGTGGAATAGGGGTGTCCGGATAGGTGACAATTAATTTTTAGGTGTTTAGCAAATTTAAGATTAAGCACTTAAATGTGTGTTAAAAAATTACAGCAACAAATTGATTGTTGTCAAATGTCAAGTGGATAAAACATGCAGGGTAAGCAAAAAAGAAAGCAAAATGGTCACCTTGAAGATGGAGGGGTGTATATCATCCACTATAATTTCATCCAGGTCGGGATCCCCGACTTGTCCGAAGAACTGGGCTCTGAAAAATGGTGATCGCGCAGCGAGGATCGACTTATGAGCTCTGAGCGTCTCGTTGCCAACACGGAACACTAAGTCGCAACCCAGCTGAGATTCCAGTAGCGCCTTGAGACCCTGGCCCAGATTGGAGCTGGGTACAGCAATGCTGCAATGGAATCCTGCTTGGCGCCTTCAACGTCGAGCCGAGTTGTGACAACTCCAACACTGGCCCGAATGATGAGGCAATCGTCCTTTAGACAAGTTGAGGACTCCAGTTTTGCTTTCCGGACGTAAAACCCCCTGCATATATATATATATTGATATATATGGAAACAACCACCACATAACAGATTTTGCTTATTGATCTTATATGGAGACGACTCGTATGCTCTATAAGCATAGTATACTACAAATGATCTGACCGTTAGATGTACTTCAATGAGCTCCGACCAATTTCAACAGTCGATTGTTATTTTCTCTTGAAGAAAAATCACCTCGGGTTTGGGTTTAGAGAATTGAAGCCTAGGGTTTATTCATTAGAAGTTAGAGTATAGTATCGCCCCGGCCCAAACTCGATTTAGTTTATAGTCTATATAGTTATATCTCACTAGGAGTACGTGGAGCATACGCGAGTCCGACCCATTACTCATATCGGATGACATCTCAGTCAATGTAGTCAAACAAACAAAAAATCGCGGTTTAAAGTTTAAAAAGCTTTTATGCTTCCAGATCACCCAAAATGCTTGTACGTAAAATCGTGTCTTTCTAGGCCCCAAAGTGCTTTTACGTAGTAGAATCATACTTTTGACTACATTGCTCTCAAAACAAAAAAGACTCCGATATCAAATGACTTAGAGTTATTGTCAGAGATTCAATTATGAATTTTGTATTATTTAGTCATTTACTAACAAACACGACATGAGAGAAGGTGGCGGAAGAATAAAGAAGAATAAATTACCAATAGCACCCTTTGTGAGTCATTGTGAATGGCTCGCTCTCCGTCGTACGGGAGTTGGTACTATCCTTCCCTTCCCCACTCTGATCCAACAAAGCCAACTCAAGCAAGGCCCTAACGTCTCTGCCGCCGGAGCTGGCCAAAGTAATGGCCACAAGAACTGATGGAACGCCGGCCTCGAGGTCGCCTTCGTCCGGGTAAAACTGAATCTGCCAGTCATAACCACCCGCCGGGAAGATGTCACTGGACACGTACTTCTGACGTCCCATACCTTTCACCAAAGAGTAACCTTTTACAGTGAACCGGCTCGACCCGGTCACCGGCTCGGTCACGGACTTGGAGGAGCAACTCCTCCTCCTTGGATCTTTCTCCAAGCCCGCCATGTTGTTATTATGCGCTATGAATATATACGTGAGTGTTGTTGATAGCAATAGCAAACGGGTATATTTATACCCAATAGTTATCGTGTGCAGTAAGGAAAAGGAATACTAATTACCATGGTTGTCAAACCGGTTTCATGCCGGCCGGTTCAACCGGGTTCAATCGGTACCGGTCAGCAAACCGGCTGGAAAGGGGCCGGTATTTAACTGTGGTCAAATCCGGTCAATGCCGGTCAGATCTGGTCAAATCCGAAAATTCCGGCCGGTTAGACCAGAAACCGGAATTTAATTTTACACACATTATATCCAAAAATAAACATCTTCCATAGAATTTGAACCAAAGACCTCTTGTTCATTTTAGTTTAACTAATACACCAGTAGGCTACAAGCAATTTTGTTGTCTATATTAACCTTATATGTTATATATCTAATACTAAATTTTACACAAATCATTATAAACATTAATAAAATTTATTTAATAAAATTTTATTTTTAAGCATCTAATTGTTTAGTATTAGTTACCAATTCTTAGCTATAAATTATTTTGTGTGAAATAATTCTTCTAATTGCTTTTTTATGACTAATTTATTTGGAATTGAGGATTTCCATTTTTCTCATGTATTTTATTAAAACCGGCACAACCGGCATGAATACTGGTTGTACCACGCTCAGACCATTCCACTTACAAAACCGGTACACCGGCATAAACCGGTTTGACAACCTTGCTAATTACACAAAGGACAAAGGTATACCAAAATAGGGTGAGTAACTTTAGGGTAAGTAACAATGAGTAACCAAATCTGGATCATTCTTTTAAGTGGCTGCAGAGGATGGAGAATTAAATGAATTTATTTTCCCTAGTTTTTTTAATTGGATCATATCTTCTTCATTCTAACTCGGATTTCAATTTTTTTTGCACAGATGGAACGAGTTCGTTGTGCTCTACAAAATGATATCCATTTTCAATATTTTTTGAGAATTTTTTTTTCATCCCTCTCGTTACCAACTCCATACCATATGGTATCTCCTTCGTTGTTTAGTCATTTTCGGAAATTTTTGCACAAAAAGAACGATTTAATCATATGATCTATTGGATTTCAAAATTTTCTAGGAGAAAAAATTCCATACCTCTCGTTACCAACTTCATACCATACTATACCACCCTGGTATGAGGTGGTATTTTTCATACCATATGGTATGCTGTTATTTAATACTAGTCAATACCATATGGTATTGACTATACCATATGGTATTAACTAGTAATAACTGGCAAAAAAAATTTTGTTCCAAAAAATATCAAAGTGGATATCATTTTGAAGAGCACAATTAATCTGATCTAACTGTGCAAAAAAAATTAAATTCCGAGTTAAACGAGTGAGAAATCGTCCGTTAAAGATTAAGGGAAAGAAAATTAATGATTTTTTCAGGAGAGAGAAGGAGGCGCTGATGTGGCAGATTCTTATTAGGTTATGCATGAGGTTACTCACCACAATGTTACTCACCGGATCTGCTCCCAATACAAGAATTACAACGACTAATTAAGACACGTCCCTAATACACCAACTTATTCATTTTTTTATGGTAAACCTATCACCAACTTATTCGTTTTTGTAGCTAAACTGTAGCCTGTAGGGACTAATTAAGAAACCCCCTATTTTCAGTATCTTTTCCCTGTATTTTCATTCGAAAAATAAAGGTATGGAAAACTCTAGTAAAATTATAGTAAGAACAATACATGTAGGGTTGGTAATGGGCCGGATTTTGTTAAATCCATCCACATTTTTGTTTCAATTCATAAATTCATACCCTCCTCATCCTTGTATGGATGGAAGTTTCTTGTCCTAATGCCTATGGTTTTTAGATGCCCGTGGTTGGTCTGAAAGTTGGAACTAAACTCAACTTGAAACTATTATATGTAGTGAAGTTAACACCCATGCGATTTTAGAGCTAGAATGTTCAACATTGATCATGTGTCATAAACCAACCCCAAAAAGTATGAGAAACATAGCAAAATTTTCAATTCTTTGGTGAAATTGGGGATAAAAGGTGGCATATATGGAATGATAGAACTGAAAAAGTGAAAATAAAGGCTTTTAAAGTCATATTATTTTAAAATTTCGGTGCAAGATACGGAAGAGGGAGAGATTGAATTCGTGTAATTGGGTATAAATAATATAAGAATCGCTGATTATGCGTATGAGGGTGGAATGGGGATACCTAAACGCATCATCGATCCATCCTACCATTCTTTTGGTATTCATACCCGCCTTGTACCTGGTCAATAAGAAAATTCCTCTCGGTGGCTGGATCACGAGTAGTCGGACACCCACAACTTACAACAAAGCAAAAAGCCTTTCTTCCCAATCCATTTTCACTTGCTACAACTTCCTGACAAAGCTCGTAGTCAGAAGACTTGGATATCTACCCTGCCCTCGAACTTACAACAAACTACACAATCCCAAATAGGTACCTAACAATTAAAAATTGATAGAGACCCGCAGAGCGGGTAGGGGTCGGGTTGGGTTGGCCGTTTGGGCTGGGTTGATGGCATTTTTGTTATTTGGTGTTAGTTTTCTGAAACACATATATTAGTGTTCTGCACATTCATTTGGGTATTAAGCAATAAGAATATCAAAATCCCTAATTCCCTTTTCTCTCAATTCTTCCCCAAATTCTACTTCCAATCCCTAATTCTTCCAATCCCTAATCCTTCTTCTCTAATCCCAATCCGATTCTTCTCTATCAATTGGTATCAGAGCCTCCAATGAGCTCCTCTTGGCTCTCTGATCCGGTGTGGATCCGTATCCAGCGGACTCTCGACGCGATCTGTGCAGACCAGGCCGCCGAGGCGCGCGCTAGGGGCTGGCCGGTGGGAGAGGCGGCCGACTCGCCTGGAGACGCAGCAGCGGGGTCGCAGCAGGGGGCGGCAGGTGCGCGGGCGGCCGTTGCGCTGCCGCGAGATGACCCGTCGGGTGCGGTAGCCGCTGCGGCGGCTGGGAAGACGACGGCGGCGCCGCGCGTCGGGGCGGAGCTCACCTGCAGCAGCTCGCCGACGCCGGGGCTTGGCGACGGCCGGGTGCAAGGGCCGGCGACTGGGATCGGAGGCAGCAGCCTCCCTCGGCCTGCTCCGGAGGTTTCGCTCCACTCGGTGACCGGCCTACCTACGCCGGGAACCCTCCGGTTCCGAGCAGAGATAGCCGACACCACCGCGTTGACCTTGGTGGACAGCGGGGCGACCCTTAATTTCATCAGCGAGGAACTGGCTAAGAAACTGGCCCAGAAGCCGAGTATGGTGGAGTCCGTGGTGGTCCGGGTGGCCAATGGGGCGCCTATGCTGTGCCGAGCAGTATATCCGGGCCTCTCGTTCACAGTTCAAGGGCTGCCCGTCACCGCGGATATGTATGTCCTGCCGATCCGTGGGTTTGACATGATATTGGATGTTCCATGGTTGCAGGATTTGGGTCCAGTGACTACTGACTGGCGGTGTTTAACCATGCGGTTCAAATGGCGTGATAAGGACTGAAGCCTGCAAGGGCTGACGACGGCTCTGGGTCCCATTTCGCTCCATGAGTGCTTCGTGGAGGGAGAGGCCGAGTTGGCGGTCTTCTGTTGGCCCGCGGTGGCGACGGAGGGCAAGGAGGTGGCCCCCGATCTGCAGCAGGTGTTGGATGAGTTTCCCGAGCTCTTCCAGACGCCGACCACCTTGCCACCCCACAGACAGGTTGATCACCGGATTCAGCTCAAGGACGGAGTGGAGGCTGTGAATGTCCGGCCCTACCGGTACGGGCACTCGCAGAAGGAGGAGATAGAGCGGCAGGTGGAGGAGATGCTCGAGACCGGGCTAATCCGCCCTAGCACCAGTCCTTTTTCCTCGCCGGTGCTTTTGGTCAAGAAAAAGGATGGGACTTGGAGATTCTGCATACTTCACTAAACTCGACCTGCGGGCCGGGTACCACCAGATCCGGATGCAGGAGGAGGACGCGCACAAGACCGCCTTCCGGACCCACAATGGCCACTACGAGTACTTGGTCATGCCATTTGGTCTGTGAAATGCTCCTTCGACGTTTCAGGCGGCCATGAACGACATTTTTAGACCCTTACTGCGCCGGTATGTACTTGTGTTTTTTTATGACATTCTGGTTTACAACCCATCTTGGGCGGCGCATTTGCAGCATCTGCAGACTGTCTTCGAGGTCCTACGGCGCCACCAGTACTACCTGAAGGCCTCGAAGTGCGCGTTTGGGGTGCAGAAGGTTGAGTACCTGGGTCACATTGTCACACCACAGGGAGTGCAGGTGGACCAGTCGAAGATACAGGCGATGGTCGATTGGCCTACCCCGACCACGGTCACGGCGCTGCGAGGCTTCTTGGGCTTGACAGGGTACTACCGGAAGTTTGTGCAGGGATACAGCATGATCGCCCGGCCCTTGACTAATCTGCTGAAGAAGGGCGGGTTTGCATGGACCCCCGAGGCGGACACGACATTCCATCGGCTGAAGCAGGCCATGACCTCTATACCGACTCTAGCTATGCCGGATTTCTCCCGGACCTTTGTGATCGAGGCGGATGCTTCAGGTCGAGGCATTGGGGCGGTATTATCTCAGGACCGGCACCCGGTGGCCTTCATGAGCAAGACCTTGGCTCCCTCCAAGGAGGCTTGGTCTACCTACCAGAAAGAGATGCAGGCTATCATTACAGCAGTGCAGATGTGGCGACCGTACCTTCTGGGCCAGAAGTTTCACATTTACACTACCATCAGAGCCTGAGAAACTTGTTGGAGCAGCGCGTTTCCACTCCTAATCAGCATAAGTGGGTCGCGAAGCTCCGGGGCTATGATTATGAGATCCACTACAAGGCCCCTCTAATGTCGTGGCCGATGGGCTTTCGCGGCGACCGGGGAGCGAGATATTTGCGGCAGTAACGGGACCGGTGCCTCAGTTTTGGGAGGCGCTTCATGCTTTGACGGAGACTGATGCTTATTTGCGGGGTTGCCGGGATACGGC